AGGGGGGGGGGGGTGTCCATATCCAGTTTTCATCTTTCAACTAACACATACTATCAATATGATGTTTTATCAAGTTTCTAGAGAATTTGCTGTCTTCTTCACAGTAACAGAATTTTTATATTGACAAAACTTGACGGAAGCACAGCTACCACTACAATAATCGTTTTGGAGTATAGTTATTCTCAGCTGAGAGCCACCTCTGTCATTGAAATTTCTGTTATAAAAGACTGACTGGTACTTGACCTTCAGCCAAACTAACAGTACAAATCCTTCCTGACAAAGGGGTCAGGAACTACAGCTCCAGTCTCACTTATTGTTCCTTCACCCTTCCTGAATCCCCAGGGCATTGTCTCCTCTAAGGCTATGTTTTGACCAAGTTTACCAAGACCAAGTTAATCAAACTCACATCTACTCAGGAGCATCTTTACAAGTGTTGCTGGGTTTCCAACACACAGAACATCCACAAGGCTAATACTTACATTTTTCACCCTTTGCATGCAGGATTGCCAGTTCTTTTTCACTTTTACAAATTGAGAAGAGATAATTTCTTCATTGTGGAACCTCTGGATGCCTTTTCTCTCAAGAGCCTTCCATTTTTCAGACAAAAAAACATTTGCTCTCTTGAAACTTTCCCCTCAAAGGGGTTGGATCCCCAGATCTTTCACAGATTTCCTATCACCGAAGAGTATTATTACCAGCCCAGTCATTAAAGCAGTGACCTCTTTAAACCACCCATCCCCCCTTCAACTTCTACAGAAAAGATGGCATTTTAGGCTTAGATACAAGTTTTTTTCCACCTGGCAGCCCTGTAACCAGCCCAAGTGTCAGGTGTAAGCACATTACAGTCAGATAAAGCCCACATCTCCTTTTCAACTCCTCCATGACTGGTATAGAGCATACACCTAGTGGCCAACCCTGCAGACACCTCTGCCCAACAGTATCAGCCTAGCATTTGATTTTTCCCATTTCTTCAAGGTCAGCTATGAATTGGCTAGAGTGTGCTATTACAGTTTTTTAAAAGGACATAAATTCATAAATGGCAATAACAATAAAAGAAGATTACATTTTACCAAATTTATTAAAGACATTCCCTGTCTGTTAAAACCTAAAGAACGTTCCCATCCATGGCTGTTTTTTCATGCAGTAACTGGAGAAGAAACAGACAGAATGAATAAAGAACCCTGTATTAAAATCCATAGCAAATACAGCCATAATCAGATAAAATATTAACACAGTGATCTTGAGATCTGGTCCACAGAAATTAGTTCCAGCACACATGAAAATAACAAACAAAAAGGAGAAAGTAAGACAAGTGTAGCCTAAATCAGCACGGCTTGTCCAAATCTGCAACAGTTATTGTCATGGGATGTGCTGGGTTTGTGTCTGTGGTGGGGGTTTTTGGTAGCAGGGGAGAGGGCTACAGCAGTGGCCCCCTGTGAGAAGCTTCTCAAAAGTTCCCCTGGCTCCAAGTTGGACCTGCCTTTGTCCAAGGCTGAGCCACTTATCAACGGTGCCTGTGCCTCTGCAATAAAGTATTTAAGAGGAATCTGGGATGAAGGGTGGGAATTGTGACAAGGACCCTGTCCTGGTTCAGCCAGGTTAGAGTAAAGTTTTCCCCAGCAGAGAGAGAGGGGGAAGGGATCTCCAGCCGGGTTATTCATACCATGCTGACCTCAGGTCCAGGGGCGGAGCCTTTTTACCTTTCTCTTCTGGTGTTGGTTTTTGCCGTACAGGCGGCGGGTTTGCTCCTTGATCATTGAGCGGTATTTCTCTGTATATCTTTTGTCTTGTTCACTGTTATTGCTGTTTATTGTTGTTACCATTGATGCTGTTGTTATTCAGATTGTTCTATCACTCTGTTGTATTAAATTTCTTGTTATTTAGCCGGGGTCTGTGTTTAACTTCCAGCCCGACTGGCGCGGGTGGGGGAGGCGCAACAGCCACGTGCTCTCTCATCCCGGCAAGAATTAAACCTTGCACATTAAAAATTGGCGCCCAACGTGGGGCAAACGCTGACCAGAGTGTGGTAGAGCAATCTGTTGGGTGTAACCTTTCTGTTTGTATTTGTGTTTGTTTGATAAGAAAATGTTTGCAATGCTGGCCCACTTGCTTGCGTGGGGGGGCTGGATTAACCCTTATATCCAGTGTATAATCCCAGTGGTGGTGTTTGTTATCAGTGGAAAATGTGTAAAAGGGTCTTATGTTGTTATACTTGCTATTGAATGCTTATAATGCCTTTGTATCGCTGTGTGAGGGAGTGGGCCGGTACCTGTTTGCCGTTTGGTTTTTTGTTAGGGGTATCACCCCCTCTGTGGGTGAGCCAGGGGAAGAGATCCTCTTGGCTTTGGGGAGTTTTAACTATTCATGGAGCCCGCAGGCCAGTGTGATTGTGGCACAATGCCTTCTGAATGCCTGCCTGATTTCGCTTTTGGCCATATGGTATTTCTCTGACAACAGCAGTGCCCGGAAACCTGCCCCGAGGCCAGATAATAGTGAGTGGCAAGGGGTGTGGGAAAAGATGGGCAAAGGCCTGAGTCGGAGGGCACCCCAATGCTTTGAAATTTCACTCCTGAGCAAATGCAAAGCCCTGAGAAGCAGATGGAGTGCTTAGAAAGGGTGTGTTACCAAGCTGGCAAAACCCAGGAGACACAAATCGCTGCAATGTGTTGGGGACTTGCCCATGCCTACCGTGTCCTCTTTAGTACCACCCGCTGCCCTCAACGGGAAGAAAAGGCCACACAAACAATATCTGAACTGGGGGCACAGGCAGAGCCAGTCTCAGTTGCCTCCACCAGCACACAGACTGAGCCAGAGAGCCAGGCAGTGCCAGTGTCAGTCGCCCCAATACAGAAAACAAAATATACCAGAAAGTCTGTTCGCAGAGTGAGGGATGAGGATGAGCCAGGCCCATCATGGGAACAGGAGGAAGGACCAGAGGTGATTGTCCGATCTCTGTCCCCGACTGAGCTGCCAGATATGCGGAGAGATTCCGGCCACCTGGGAGGTGAGCAGATTTGCACCTGGCTGCTCTGATGCTGGGACAATGGAGCCAGTGCTTTTGAAATGGAGGGGAGAGAGACCAAGCAGCTGGGATCTTTGGCCAAGGATGCTGGCATTGATAGGGAAATAGGGAAACAGACTCAAACCCTCAGCCTTTGGAAGCGACTCCTGTTCAGTGTAAGGGAGAGGTACCCCTACAAGGATGATATCCTATGTCAGCTAGGCAAATGGATCAACATTGAGAAGGGCATCCAGAGCCTCAGGGAACTGGCTGTGTTTGAGATGATCTATGGTGATCTGAATAATGAGCAGTCACCCATGGACCCAGATCAGGCCCCTTGCACACACCTGATGTGGCGAAAGTTCCTGAAGAGCGCACCAGAAGCACACTCGAAAGCATTGGCAATAGTGTCCTGGTGGACAGACACCCAGACTCTAACAGTGGATGGAGTGGTTGGCAAGCTCCGGAATAGGAGGGAAATCTCCCTTCATCTCAACATTCCCTGGTCTCAGCTGTGGAGGAACTGTCTCAGAGGGTCCAGAAGATGGAAGAGGACATGTCCTACGTTCCACTTGCACGGGCTAATGTCTCAGCCATTAGAAGTAAATGTTTCCCCACCCAAGAAAAAGGCAGCAGAAGGCACACACCACGAGGCACCCTGTGGTTTTTCCTCTGCAACCATGGAGAGAACATGAGGAGATGGGATGGACAGCCCACTGCTGCCCTCGCTGCATGAGTAGAGCAGCTGAAAGGGAAGGCCATCGCAAAAGGGGAGTCCTCCAAGAAGAGCGCAGCTCCAGTGTCCAGTCAGAAATACCCCAGACAGAATAGAATGATGAACGTTATGTCTGACCCTCTTGAGGGGACCAGTAAGTCATTCTTGCAAAAAGTGAGTGATGATGAGCAGGATTAGAGGGGCCTTGCCTCCAGCCAGGTGGAGGAAAGGGACAATCGGATTTACTGGACAGTGTGGATCCGATGGCCTGGCACGTCAGACCCACAAGAGTATAAGGCTTTGGTGGACACTGGCGTACAGTGCACCCTGATGCCATCAAACTACAGTGGGGTTGAATCCATCTGCATCTCTGGAGTGACAGGGGGATCCCAACAGCTGACCCTACTGGAAGCTGAAGTGAGCCTGACTGGGAAGGACTGGCATAAGCACCCCATTGTGACTGGCCCAGATGCCCCGTGCATCCTGGGCATAGACTATCTCAGGAGAGGGTACTTCAGAGACCCAAAAGGGTACCGGTGGGCTTTTGGTGTGGCTGCCTTGGAGGAGGTTGAACAGTTGTCCACCTTACCCGGCCTCTCAGAGGATCCCTCAGTGGTGGGGCGGCTTAAGGTTGAGGAGCAGCGAGTGCCAATTGCTACCAGGACGGTGCACCGGCGGCAGTACCGCACCAACCGAGATTCCCTGGTCCCCATCCATCAGCTGATCCGTCAACTAGACAGCCAGAAGGCGATCAGCAAAACTCACTCCCCCTTCAACAGTCCTATATGGCCAGTGAGGAAGCCTAATGGCGAATGGAGGCTAACTGTGGACTACCGTGGCCTGCATGAAGTTACGCCAGCAATGAGTGCTGCAGTGCCGGACATGCTGGAGCTCCAGTATGAACTGGAGTCGAAGGCAGCCAAGTGGTATGCCACGATTGACATTGCTAACACGTTTTTCTCCATTCCGATAGCGCCAGAGTGCAGGCCACAGTTTGCGTTCACTTGGAGAGGCATCCAGTAGACCTGGAATCGATTGCCCCAGGGGTGGAACCACAGCTCCACCATTTGCCATGGACTGGTCCATACTGCACTGGAGAAGAGTGGGGCTCCAGAACACCTGCAGTACATTGATGACATCATTGTATGGGGGGACACAGCCGAGGAAGTCTTTGAGAAAGGGAAGAAGACAACTGAAATCCTCCTGAAGGCCGGCTTTGCCATTAAGCAAAAGAAAGTTAAAGGGCCTGCAAGGGAAATTCAATTCCTAGGGATAAAGTGGCAAGATGGGCGTCACCACATCCCAATGGAGGTGATAAACAAGATAACAGCCATTGCCCCACCAACCTCTAAAAAGGAGACTCAGTCTTTCCTGGGCACTGTGGGGTTCTGGAGGATGCACATTCCGAACTACAGCCTGATTGTGAGCCCTCTCTACCACGTAACCCGTAAGAAGAACGATTTTGAATGGGGCCCTGAGCAACAACAACCCTTTGAACAGATTAAACGAGAGATTGCCCAAGCAGTAGCCCTCGGGCCAGTCCGGGAAGGGCAGGAGGTTAAGATCATGCTCTACACTGCAGCAGGGGAGAATGGCCCTACCTGGAGCCTCTGGCAGAGAGCACCTGGGGAGACCTGAGGCCGACCTCTGGGCCTTTGGAGCCGGGGATACAAAGGCTCTGAAGCTAATTACACACCAACTGAGCAGGAGATACTGGCAGCTTATGAAGGAGTTCGGGCTGCCTCAGAAGTGGTTGGCACTGAAACACAGCTCCTCCTGGCACCCCAACTGCCAGTGCTGTCGTGGATGTTCAAAGGAAAAGCCTCCTCCACGCATCATGCAACCGATGCCACATGGAGTAAATGGGTTGCATTGATAACACAGTGGGCTCGAATAGGGAACCTCAGCCGCCCAGGGATACTAGAGGTGATTACGAACTGGCCAGAGAGCAAAGATTCTGGGATGTCACCAGAACAGGAGGTGACACGTGCTAAGGAGGCCCCACCATATAACGAGCTGCCGGATGAGGAGAAGCGATATGCCCTGTTCACTGATGGGTCTTGTCGCACTGTGGGAAAACATCGACAGTGGAAGGCTGCTGTATGGAGTCCCACATGACGGGTCACTGAAGCTGCTGAGGGACAGGGGGAATTGAGCCAATTTGCAGAGGTGAAAGCCATCCAGCTTGCTTTGGACATTGCTGAGCGGGAAAAGTGGCCGAGGCTCTACCTCTACACTGACTCGTGGGCAGTGGTGAATACCCTGTGGAAATGGCTACAGCAATAGAAGCAGAACAACTGGCAACGTAAGGGTAAAACCGTCTGGGTTGCTGAAGTATGGCAGGACATTGCAGCCCATGTGGAGAACCTCATTGTGAAGGTGTGCCATGTGGATGCCCATGTAATCAAGAGTCGGGCCACTGACGAGCATCGACACAACCACCAGGCAGACCAAGCTGCTAAGATTAGAGTGGCTCAGGTGGACTTGGACTGGCAGCGCAAAGGTGAACTGTTCATAGCCCGGTGGGCCCATGAGACCTTGGGCCACCAAGGTAGAGATGCAACATACAGGTGGGCTCGAGATCGAGGGGTGGACCTTACTATTGACACCATTGCAGAGATCATCCACGAATGTGAGACGTGTGCTACAATCAAACATGCCAAGCGGGTGAAGCCCCAGCGAAATGGAGAGCAATGGCTGAAATACAGATATGGAGAGGCCTGGCAGATCGA